AGTGGTCAGGGGGGATTATTTAATGGGCAGTCCCAGGAATTGTCTTTACAGCTACAGGAATTTCAGGCTTTGAATGTAGCATAGAAACTTAACAATACCTGGTCCTTTACATTTTAACTCAGGCTTTGCAGCTTAGAAACTTTACAATACCTGGTCCTTTACATTTTAACTTCAATTTCTTTTATCCTTTCATTATGATCTTATAGGGTCATAATTCAGGGACGCTGGAGCTTCAACCCCAGCATGGACTAAGTGGAGTTTAGCCGATAGAAATAGAGCATTTCTGGGGACCCTCCTGGCCTGGCTTGGAGCACTCCACTGGGCTGCTCCCAGCCTTCACTTTTTCTTTTTTCCCATAGATACATGCTTTTTGTTTGGTGAGATAAATCGAGACAAAGCCTCGCTCTTCCTAAAGTTTTACTGTGTATTTCTTTTTTAATTTATTTGAATTATTGTTTCACAGATCAAAAACTACAGTTAAAGGTAAGCCCAAGATGGGTGCAGTGGCCCAGGTCTATAATCCCAGCTCCTCAGGAGGCTGAGGCAAGAGGACTGGGCAACGTAGTGAAACTCTGTCTCAAAATAAAAAAATTTAAAAAGTGTTGGTGCCGCAGTCTGGCTGGGCACAAATCATGGAGCAGCCACAAAGCACTTGTATGTTCAAACAGGAAATTTTATTGCCTGAACTCCAACAGCACTCCACGCACACTCCCCAGAACTCTCCCAAATGCCACCCACGCGGCCCCCAGGAACACCACACACCAACCGGAACTCCCTCCGCACTCACTCACTTGGAACCGTGAGAACTCAAGGGAAACTCCAAAGTAGCGGGCACCTGAGGCCGCCCTATTACCTGACAGTAAAGGTCTAATATACAATTGAATACACAGCCTGTTTCAATCCAGCATCATCCAGTCACAGCAATTATAGACAGCTTAACTTAATATCATCATCTTAATGGCTCACCTCTCAACCATTACTTCTGGCAAAATGCCAGGGGCATTCCGACTTAGCTGTGGCTCTCAGCACGTTGGGGATGTAGCTCAGTGGTGGAACATTTGCCCAGCATGTTTGAGGCCCTGGATTTGATCCTTAGTGTTGTTTAAAAAAATGGAAGCCCAAAGCCATCCTAAGGCCCTGGAGAGACCAGCCTTGAAGAAAAGTGAGACAGACAGGCATGATAGTTTACACCTATAACCCCAGTCACTCGGGAGGCCAAGGCAGGAGGACTCCAAGTTCAAGGCCAGCCTAGGCAATGAGACCCTGTCTCAAAATAATAAAAGGSATAGGCTGTAGGTCAGTGGTAAAGTGCCTCTAGGTATCAAAGGGAAGAAGAAAAGGGACAGTAAGACACCATGTCCCTGAGTGTCCCTTTCTAATCCCAAACACCCAGCTAAACTAAGGGGAGAACAAGAGCAAGTCCGGGCTGCAGTGTGTGGATACGAGTTATCTTGAAGGACATGGGTTTTCTCAGGTGTGCTGAGAACAAAGGCAAGGTGGTACCTGTGGACAGCTGCTGCTTAGGATGCTGTCATACAAGGACCAAAGCTGATTAATGGTGTCCCTGCTTCTGCAGACTGACTTTTCATCTCCTGCCTCTGGTGCTGGGCTTGAACCCAGGGGCACTCCACCACTGAACTATATCCCCAGCCCTTTTTAAACAGGGTCTTGCTAACCTGCAGAGACTGGCCTTGAACTTGCCATCCTTCCTGCCTCAGCCTCCCGAGTTACTGGGATTACAGATGTGGCCACTGCACCCCAGCCTGTAGAGCCTCTCCCTGTGGTAATGAGTGTGGGTCAGAACCCTGTGGAGTGAAAAGTGCTCATTTGGGCAGCTATCCCTGGACAAAGCAACGTAAGGGATAGGAGGCGTGACCATCTGGAGGGGCACCAGACTGCCTGGAAAGCATCTGTCCAGCTGCCACCACTGACCCTCCCCATAAACATTTTTCAATAAACCTTGTTTCTCATCCCATCTCTGGGTGCCTCCCTGGTGTCTCAGCAAACTATCCCACTGCCTTGCACAACTGCAGTGAATATTACCCTGGTGAAACCTCTTTAGGTGGGTCTGGAGATGCCAGAGACTTGTTCTAAAACTGTTGTCCCACGAGACAGCCGAGTGAACCAAGGGCACATGCTGCTATTCCACCAGCAAGAAAGGCCGCAGCCTGAATCTTTTTTTTTTTTTTTTTTACTTTGAGTCTTTTTTTTTTTTTTTTTTTTTTTGAGTTCTTACAAAAACTGGAACAACAAAACAGAAGCTATAACCAGAGGAATAGGCTTGGGGTCAGCAGAGACCAAGCGCATGGGCCGAGCACACCCTTGGCCTCACTGGGTCTGTGCAGCCTGAATCTTTTTAAGCTGCTTGGCTTAGTGCTCTGGCCCTGCTGGGCCACTGCCTCCCTGAAGCCTATAGTAAGATGCTGGGTTGGTTTCGCCCTCGTGAAACTAACCTGCAGGGTGGGTAGCTGCAATCCCACTGGAGACCTGGAGGTCGTCTTGGTTGTCATTCTAACTGCAGACCCTACTGGGCTTTTAAAATATTGTCTGCTTTTTTTGTGGTAATTCCTTCTTTGCCAACCAAGCTTCCCTKCTGCAGCAGAGGAATGGGCAGCCTGTGCTCTGTAAGAGCCACAGCCCCGCTGGCATGGTCCAGACCCATCCTGAGTGTTCACATGCAGCTATGAGAAAATGGCCCTGAGATTTAGTCATTTTTGCCCATTTCAGTAAGAGAGAGGGGTCTGTTTTTCCCTGTAAACTTGGAGAATATTGTAGGGGTTTTTGTTAGAAGAAAAAAAAGCTCCCTTCTCATTCCCTGTTTCTGATATCTGTGCCGGTCTATAAAAGGAGATTTCAATGGGGTCAGTCCTGGCATCTGCGGCTGGTCCCCCGTCCGGCTCACCACACAGCTTCCCTCTGCTGGAAGCTTATTTTCTAAAGCACACTTACCACCAGACTTTAGTGACCACCAATGTCAGCATCTGTCAATAAAGCCTCGGGCCCTCAGAGCAGCYGCCTCAACTTCCAGTTGGGTGTTCACTTGGTTTGGAGTTGGTGGTGACTGGGGAGGTGTAAGGAAGCGTGGGTTGGTGCTGGGCAGGCTGATTCTCAGGTGCCAGGCTGTGGTTCCCACAGGCCCACTGGGCATCAGGACCTCTACTGACTCCAGGGAGTGGAAACTGCAAGGCGCTGTGAAAAATAAAGTGCTGGCCCTCCCGCTGCGGAAGACTGACACGCCAAATGCAGAGGCGTGGCTCAGTGGGACAGCACTTGCCGGCATGTGTGAGGCCCTGGGTTCCATCTGCAGCACAGACAAAACCCGAAACCCTTGTCCAGGGGTTTGCACCCCCTAAGCACTAGGGCTGGGCATGAACCCAGGCAGTTCCCCAGAGGTGGGCCCTCAAAGCCAGATGACACTGCCCAGGCTCAGGGGTATGGCTGAGGTCAAATGCCTGGCTCCAGGGAAGAGGAATGGCTAAAAAGTGTCCCCATCCACTTTCAGATGACTTCAATTGTCAGAGTGCTGTGGTTACAGGGAACCGMCGCCTGCCTCCCAAGGCTTTGCGGTATGATACTTTATTTTTAAATGAAGGTCTGCAGGAAGTTGCAAAGACGGTACAGAGGACTCTGGGGTACCGTTCCCTGCTTGCCCCATAGTAATGACAGGACAGTGTCTATCTGAGCTGAGAAGAGGGCAAGTTGGGCAGCCAGCCTTCTCCAAGCCAGTCTTCCCCCAGGAAGGGCTTCCTGCCTGACTCGGGGCGACTCTCACCCTGAACTGAGCCGAGGACCAGCTAGGCTGGGGGTTTTCTTCCCGCTGGGCTTAGTCCAGTATCTGCATATTTTCTGCTGGATGGGATCAAACCTGGGCCTTGGCCTGCAGAGCTGCTTCCACGTAATCCCCAAGTGGTGACATTTATTCATTCGGTCAGTCACTCAAATATTTGTCTGACACCTACTGAATGCCAGGCACCATTCCCAGGAATTGAGGCCAGAAACCTTTCTCCTAACTGGGGCCTACAGGGTTTCTCCTTGTTTTCTGAAGGTGGGAAGACTAGGGCGGGTGTGAGCCCGGACTCCAGGCAAGGGTGATTAACTGCCTCGGTGGCATCAGGAAAAGACGTCACTGAGCATTCTGTTGTCCAAGCCTAGTGGGAGGCTGCCCAAGGGACTGGGCAGGGACAGCTGCTGGGGGAAGAAACGGCAAGGGCACTGGGGCCCTGCAGGTGTGGGGCAAGGGTGCAGCCCCAGGAGGTCTGGCAACAGCCTCCCAGACGAGAGCATTTCAATAGGAGGAGACCACCCTGCTATCAACTGCCAGTCACGGCCACGTCTCTCAAAGGACCCTGGCCATCCACGCGAAACACAAAGGCAAGTGTCTGCAACTTACTCCCCGTCATTTAAGAACCCTGTAGAATGTTCTGTGCTGATGAGAACAGAGCCTCCGCTCTGCCAGGATGAATGAGCTCAATTTTGCCCTGAGTGGGTGAGGTGACCTGTTGGGAGGGTGATTTAGGGAGGTTCATTTTCTGTCGCAGAATGCCTGCCAAGTGCCGCGAAATTGGTCTCTGTAGAGCTGATGCCAGGCTGCTCTGAGGGTAATTAGCCCGTAGTTTCAGCTGCTTCCTCAGTCCTGTGTTGGGGACAGTAGCTGGTCATTCTGGAGCCGGAGGCTTGCCTGCCAGCTGGCCATGGATGGGGCCAGCCCTCCCGCTSCTCCCCACAAAGGCCAGTGGTGCTAGGGAGTTGGATGTGGCCTAGAAGAACAGAAGCTTAGATGCAGCCTCATTTTTGTCATTGAAAAATGGAATGTCCCCATCATGAGCCTGCTCCTGCCCCTGATTTCAACCGTGGTGGTCTGACGCTGGCTTTGGAGAGCTGGGAGAGGCTTGGCATCTGCCAGAGTGGGGTCCAAGCTGAGGRAGGAAAGAGGAAAATGGGAGGTAAGGGTCCTTCTAAAGCAGCTCCTCTTCAGCTGGGCTGTAACTGAGTCCACTTCAAGGGAAGTACACTGGCAGGATTCATCAGGTGGCCCCTCAAGGTTGGGTGCCTGCTGTCCAGGGGACAGTCTAATCCAGCTGCTCATCGGGGTTTAAACCCAGAACCCAGGTCTGAAAGCAGAGTGTGTGTGGCCTGCTGACTGGCCACCTCCCAGCCCTGTAGCATGCGGGCGACAGACGTGTGGCTCGGGAACCTCCCTCTGGRTCCCACCCTCCTGGCCCTGACAGCTGCTTCCCTTCTTGCCCAAGCTGTGGTAGGTGCAAGAACAGAGATCCTTTCAAACCTCCTCAGCTCAAGGTYGGAGGCTCACTGGGAGGAGGCCTGAAGAGACAAAACAGTTCCTCTAGCTCCCCCCAATCGTCAATTCACATCCACGCGGGCATGTGCGACGCATAGGTTTTGACTCAACCAAAGCCACATTGACTTGAACTGTTTTACTGTGACTGCTGGGGAGCCCCGAGGTAGCACTCTTCACCACTTTTTTTCCCTACTGTAATCAGAGTGGATGGAGGGCTTGAAGGAGGCCCTGGAGCAGGAGAGGCTGCCCCACTCCTCTCTCCTCCCCACTCCTGCTTTAGGAGGCTGCAGTCCTCGGAGCACCTGCTAAATTCTCTCATCTTCGAGGTCCAATTGGCTATGGGCTGCCACATGGCTCCAGAGCAGGGCTGCTCCAGTCTGAGGGGCTGTCAGCACAGTGGGCCCCTTGGCTGATGCAGTGGGTATCAGTCTGGTGGGGTGTGTGGAAGGATGAAGAGCCTACACAATCCCAGAACAATTCTACGCCACTCTGAATTCCTTGTGAAATACTGTTTCCATAACTTTGCTGGAATTGCTTTTACTTCCATGTTCATGTTCTACAAACCAGCAGGAGCCTAGTCAGAAAAAATGGCCCACACACTTGGAGTGGAGAGGCCTGGGCTGACCATAAGTCATGCAGCTGCTGCATTCAGGACGAGGCACAGTCAGTGAAGATGCCAAACTCAACCTCTCCCCTCTCTGCAAGCCCTGTCCAGCCCAGGGGTAGCCACCCAGGGAAAGCCACCCAATCTGTCCTGCCCTCTGAATAGTGCCAGTGCCCATGCCCGGGTTGGGGGACTCTGAGTCCTCTGCCTCCTGTGCCCTCTTTTTGCATGCTGAGTGAGTGGTTGAGTGGAGACTGGCTTGCCAGATGTGTCTGCAGCTAGGAGCCCGTCTGGAGCAAGCTACCCCTGGCACTCACCCTGGCCCCATTCCAACGATCCCATTTAGTTAGTCCTCAGGACTGATCAAGACCAGAACTCCAGGGCCAGCTGGGGCCAGTGCCCAGCTGAGGCATCTTCTTTTCCAGGCTCAGATGCTTCCAAGAACTTTGGGTGAGTAGTCCAGGAGCCCAGGGACTTCCTGGGACAGGTCTCAGGCTGACCTGCATCCCTCAATGGCGGGGCAGCCGGGTCAAGCAGGCGTATGCCCACTGTATTGCCGAAGAACCTGAGTTCAGAAATATGCCCGAGCACTTGTGGCCAGCTCCCCTCCTGGGGACGCTAGGATTTGAATCCGGGTCTGTGGCTCCGCTGCATCCTCAGGCTTTGCGACTTCTTCCTCCTTTCCCTTTGGGACAAACTTGGGGACCACAGAAATGTGGCATCAATTTCCTTGCAAAACTGAGGGCACCACGCGGCCAGCGGCACCAGGAAAGCAGTTCCTTGAAAAAGAGCCTCCAGCAGCGCGACGACCCTCCAGCTGAGTGCGCTGCYCCTGCCGGGTCTGGTCCTGCCCTGCTCCGCCCCCTCCACGCCCATCTGCGGCTCTCGGACGCCCCCCACTCCGCCTCCATTTCCCCGACTCTCCCAGCCCCTGCCTGCCCTGTTGCCCTCTCCCAGCTTCCCTGCCCCGCCCCGGCCTCCAGACCCCGGCCCCGCTCCCCGCTGGGCTCGCCCCTGCCCGGCTCCCTCGGCTCCCTCTCCATGGCCCGACTGGCCGCGCTGCTGCTGGCCGCTGCCCTGGGCGCGCTGCTCAGCTTCGCGCTGCTGGCCGCCGCGGTCGCCAGCGACTACTGGTACATCCTGGAGGTGGCGGACGCCGGTGACCGCACCGGCCGCGCCGAGCGGCTGTCCTCGCACTCGGGGCTCTGGCGCACTTGCGAAGGTAAGCGGCGCCCCCGCCACTCCGCGCCCCTTCCCCTCCGAAGTCCCTTCCCCCGCTCGCCCCTCCTCCCAGACCCRCCCGCAGAGCAGTCTGCCCCTCAGGGGGTCTCTCAACCCCCTCCYTGTCCCCCTCAAACTTGTGGTGACAGTTGGGCTGTGGAGAGGAAGGGACTGACTCCTCAGGGACACGGAGGGGCAGCGGGGCCAGAGCTGGGAAGAGGAAGGGGGGTTGGCACTCTGCGGCCCCACAAGTACCTTCCTCTGGAACCTGCCTTGGCTAGAGATGGGGTGGCACATCGTGTGGGAGATTGCAGGTCACCCCAAGGCACGCATGGTCCTTCGGGTCGCTGGGTAATTTGGGACCTGTCCCTATTCAACCTCCAAGTCTTGGAAACTCAGATGGGAGGAAGCTGAGGCCTCCTCGCGAAGGAGGAGGGAGAGCAGGGAGGCTGGCCCGCCCAGCCCCAGCCGCTGTCCCTGCTCTGTGACTTCTCTGCCAGGTGACCCCCACGGCCTTCCTGGAGGGGAGGGGTGGGGCTGGGTTGGGATGGGGGCCAGTGTGGGAAGCCTGGGTGTGGGTTGCTGGGGTCTCTGGAAAGGCTATGGGTCTAACCCCAAGTGACCAGGAGTTGCTTTTGTAGATGACTGCGCCGGGGCCCTCCCAGCCCCGCCTCACCACTCTGGGGCCAGCCTGGGGTCCCCCCCCAGGATGAGCCCTGGGTGGCTGGGGCCTTGGGAGGCTGTGAAGCGTGTGTGTATGAATGTGACAGCACGCATCAGTGTATGAATGTGAGTGTATATGTGAGTGTGAGTGTGAGCTTGTGTGAGCACATGCTAGTATGAGCAGGCACATGGGTATGAAGGTGTGTGAATAGAGAGCTTGCGTGCTGTTTGCCCACGCGTGTGGCTGAGCGAGCACTGTGTGTAGGGGTATGTGTGTGTGATGAGGAGAAAGGGCTGAGCTGTGGTCATCCTCTTGACAATGGGTGTGTGTGCACACATACGTGCATTATGTGGGTGTGCATGTGTGTGAGTCAGCGCCCACAGGACCTGAGGAGTCTGGCCTTGTGTTTTTTTTTTTTAGTTGTAGTCGTACACAATATCTTTATTTATTTATTTTTACATGGTGTTGGGGATGGAACCCAGGGCCTTGCCCGTGCTAGGCAAGCGCTCTAAGGCTGAGCCACAACTCCAGCCCCAAGTCTGGCCTTGTTATTGCAGCGTCTCGCAGGAATCTTGCACTGGGCAGTCTGGAAGGGAGCCTGTCCAGATTTTTTTTTTTTTTTTTTTGGTACCAGGAATTCAACTCAGGTGCACTTAACCACTGAGCCACATCCCCAGCACTATTTTTTTGTATTTTATTTAGAGACAGGGTCTCACTGACTTGCTTAGCGCCTTGCTTTTGCTGAGGCTGGCTTTGAACTTGCAATCCTCCTGCTTCAGTCTCCCACTGGGATTACAGGCGTGCACCACCGTGCCCCACTGGAGTGTTAGAGATTTAGCAGCTGTGACCTGTTCATTAAAAGAAATTAAATAAGGCTGGGGATATAGCTCAATTGGTAGAGTGCTTGCCTAGCATGCATGAGGCCCTGGGTTCCATTTCCAGCACCACATTAAAATAATAATAATAAAATAAAATAAACCAAACAAGGTCTTGGACCTCTAATCCCATTTAGAGTCCCAGCCCCAAGTTCCAGGGGAGAGATACCAATAGGGAGGGCCCCAGGGCCACAGTTTGTCCACATGGCTCTGGGGGCTGCTGGGTGCCCATTGTCCCCAGCTCCTGCTTTGCACTTTGGCTTTCCAGGGCAGAACAGCTGCATACCCCTGATCGACTCCTTCAGCAGCAAGGGCCTGGATGTCTCCCCCTCAGTGCAGCACCTTCTCTGTGAGTCCAGGCAGTGCCATCTCTGCCATCTCCCTGATTCTTTGAGCAGGGCTAGGACAGAAGCCACCCCACCCCAGCCCACCCAGAACTGCTTCCAATGGCCTGCTGTTACCAGGGGACTTTCCCATCCATAGCTCCTCTCTCTCCAGGTGGCTCCTGACATAGGCACAGCTCAGCCTGCTTGGCCTCCCTGTGCCCACTTCCCTTTCAGTGGTGACTGACACCCCTAGTTGTCGGGGGAAGCAGGCGGCTGTGGCATGACTGGAGCTGGTGAAGCCCGCGAGCTCCCCTTTTTGGACTCTCTGTTATCTTTCCAGATGGACAGTTGGTCAGCCTGGCAAGCATCTCCCACCTGGTGGGTTAGCGGGCACATGTCTGCTGCCCCAGAGAGACCTGAGAGTGGGGGTGGGGAGGGTACTCGGGAGTCTTCCTCACCCTGGCCTCAGGAAGGCTCCACAGGACCACAGGTGACCACTAGGAGGGTCCTGTGGTTGCCATGGAGACAGGCATCAGCTCAACCCACCCCCACCCTGGCCCAAGCTGGTGAAGCAGCATATCACTGTCCTCTGGGCAGGCTGGCCTCCACCTTCCTGGGGGCAGGGTCCCTGTCTGCCTGCCCCTGAGCCCCCTCTCTCACAGCGCTGCACCGAGCTGTCATGGTGGTCCTTCCGTTGAGCCTGATCCTCATTGTGTGCGGCTGGGTCTGCGGCCTGCTCAGCTCCCTGGCCCGGAGTGTCCCTCTGCTGCTACTCACCGGCTGCTACTTCTTGCTGGGGGGTGAGTCCAGGGTTTCTGGGCGAGCCAGCTGGGACTGCAGATGCTGGGATTGGGACTCTGCCTCCCTGCACCCTGCCCATCCTGTTCCCCTCTGGGCTACGCGGAGCCTGGGAACCCCAGGCCACAGAAGTGCAGCAGAGTCTCTGGCTGGGACCTGTATGCAGGGCCAACCAGAGTGGAGCTGGGCTGCTGGAGCCTCCTTACAGTGACTCCAGGACCTGCTTCCCCAGGACAGGTGGTGCTGGGGCTGTGGGATGCCCCCAGCTGCTGTCCTCAYACCCAACCTGTCCGGTGGGAGGAGTAGGGGAGGGGGCGGGTTCTGACACAGGTGAGGCAAGGCCAGGCACCAGATGGGGTGAGCAAGGGCATCAGGGTCCTTGGCATTGACCCCAACCTAGGCCCAGATTATACTTTAGTAGTGCTGCAGCTGACAGGTGCTGGGCACTGGGCCCAGCACTCCCCCAGGACCCCCAATGCCACCTTAACAGCTAAGAGTCCTGAGGGTCTGAGAGGCCCCAGGATTCTCTAAGATGAGAAGGAAAATGGTCCTAGGCCCCCTTCACTGTTTTTGGTGTTGTCTGCCCCAGCCACCAAACTCCCCTCCTGCTAGGCTGGTTGTCACTGAAGGTGGCTTCTTGGGGTCAGCCCTCAGTGGCCCCTGTCAGAAGTGTGTTGGGTCTGGTGTCTTAGGCCAGCTCTACTGTCATGGTGACAAAGACCAGACCATATGAGGCTGGGGTYCCCTCCCGGGCAGGCCTGCTTCCCTCCCCAGGGGATGCTGGACTCTGGTGGACCTTTATCAGGAGCAGGTGGTGGGCCTCGCTTGGAGCTGAGGTTGGGGAATCATCAGCCTTGGTTTTGGCCACAGGACGGCAAGGTCTCCTTGACTTGAGAATAAAATTGGGAATAGTCAAAGTGTCAGCTGTGACCTTGACCAGGGTCAGAGTCTGCAAGGGTCCAAGATCCAATTTAGAGGACCTTGGGAACCCCAGAGAGGAGGAGTTGGCTTGGGACTGTACCCAGGAAGCCTTGTGCTGACAAGAAACCTCTGTGCTGTGCCTGGAACAGGGCGCGGGTGCAGGCCAGGCCCTGGAGGCAGCTCCGGCCTCCCAGGGCGGAGGGTGCGCCACTCCAAGGAGGGGGAGTCCAGAGGGGCAAGGGTTTGAGGCTGGATGGCTCCACGGACATCCCGCAGCCCCCTTGCTCAGGGCACTCCAGACTCGCTGCAGGTCTCTTCTGGGAGCCACCCTGAGTCTTGGCGCCAGCTCCTAGCCTGCAGGGCAGAGGGTCAGCTATGGACAGCAGTGCTGGGGCTCTGAGACAGGAATGTGACACCATGGGGACCTCCCTGAGGCCAGCTCACCCCCTGCTACCCCATTAGTGCTGTAAGAAGGGGAGGGCAAGGTGGTATCTGGGAGAGAGGGCCCTGCTGAGTGTCCATCAGTGCTGACCAGGAGAGGGGTGGGGTGGTGAGCTGCCTGCTGGGCTCCGTTGACAGGACCTGTGGACCAGGGGTCCCCTAGGGATACCCTGAGCAGCCACCCCGCCCCTTCTCTCTCCAGGTGCCCTGACCCTGGCGGGGGTCAGCGTCTATATCAGCTACTCGCACCTGGCCTTCGCGGAGACTGCCCGCCAGTACGGCCTGCAGCACATGCAGGGCGTCCACATCAGCTTCGGCTGGTCAGTGGCCCTGGCCTGGGGCTCCTGTGCCCTGGAGGCACTCAGTGGCACCCTCCTGTTGGCAGCCGCCCGAACCCTCAGCCTGAGCAGGCTCCCAGGTGCTCCCCACTCTGTGGCCATCTGAGCTGGGGGAGGGGGGCAGTGCTTGGCATCTCCTGGGAGTCCGGTTCTGCAGGCCTGGCTAGAGCCTGGCGTGGAACACCCTGGATGGCACACTGGCCCTGGGCCAGTCATGCGGCTTTGCCCTTCAGATACAGATAGGATTTCCTCCTCTTAGAGACAAGGAAGTGTCTGGACAGAGGAGGCCAGGGCCCCAAGGCACATGGATTCTGGGTGGTACAGTCGGGTGGGGGTACCTTGGGCTCCTGCGTTCTCTGGGGGTGTTCTTGTCTCTTGGGCTATGGCTGGCCCTCCTCAGCTACCCACATTCCTAGTGTCTCGATGAGGGGTGGCTTCAGAGTGCACAGGTGTGTGTTAAATATGAGTACCCCCTGCTCCCTGGCCCTCACAGCCCTGTGCACCTTTCACCCTGTGTTGCTGGGGGAGAYCAAGGCCCAGACCACTCAGGAGCCAAGGGCAGGACCCAATGTTCTAGAAGGTTGGTGGGACCCCAGGCCTCTGTTCTGTCCCCATCCTCCAGAGCAGGGTTGGTGGGGAGGAGAGCAAGGACAGGGCCGAGATCCTTTTAGTTTGTAGGCAGACTGGCTCCCACCCCATGTGCCCTGCCCCTCCCTTGTCTTCCCACCAGGTGGGTGGCTCTGYACCACCCAGGTGCGGCATATGCTGCAGGCCATCGCTCCTGCTGGCTCTGACCCTTCCCTTCTGCAGCAACTTGGGGATGCTTGTAACTGCCAAGGGCCCTGGGGCAGCTTGACTGACAGATGTGGAGGTCCCAGAAGGGCAGGGTGGGGATGGGGAACTCTGAGCCATGGTGGGGACATCTCCACCATGGGGTGCGATGTGGTGGGGTGAGCTGGAGCTGTGCCTAGCCCGCCCTGTGAGGGACCTGGATGAAGGRCCTACTCAGCCAGAAGGGCTGGGACTGCCCAGGTGGCAGGGGCCAGGCCTGGAGTTTGGGCTGCAGACTTGTTGAGCAATCGGTAGAGGCTTAGCGGGGTGGGGCCTGCTCACAGGCCCAGGCTGGTCCAAGGTCGAGATGTGAGGACAGGGCCATCCAGCCCCACCTGAGTTGTCTTGGGCCACAGGTAGGGGCAGGCATATTTTTATGTAGGTGGACAGCTGGGCAGATGCAGGAAAAGTGGCCCCAGGGAAGGTCCTGGAAGCCCCATCTCCTGTGCAGGGCCTTCCTGAGCTTTGGGCCATGTGCTAGGAAAGATGACACCTTTAGAGGCTTTGACCTCCTGCCCTATTTGTCCTTATTGCTCCTGAGGACATGGAGCTGGCACAGATTTGGCAGGGCCCACCGAGACAAAGAGCTGGGCAGTCGAGTGGGGCTTCTCTTCCTGCCGTGTTTGTACATTGGCCACTCCCTGTGGGAACACTGTGCCAATCTGTCCTTGAATAAACCAGCTTGTGCTCTGTGCAGACGGAGCTCTGTATTTTTTTTCTTCGAATTTTTCAAAATAGGCCCTATTTGTCCTTGCCTCACAGATATTGTGAAGGTGAACAAGCACTGTTACCAGTGGTGTGTGCATGTCTGTCCATCCAATGATGTCTGTGTGTCTGCTTGCACAGTTGTCAAACTGTCCAGCCAGAGTCCTGTGTGCACATTCGTGTGCATGTGTGTGCACATCCAGCCATGTCTCCTGCAGACCAGGGCCTCCTCCTCCCCAGGTCGGCATGGGCTGGAAGGAGCTGGGCCTGCAGCTGGGTCTGGGCAGCTGTCTTACTCAGTAGGAAAGGTTTCTGAGCCCGTGTTTGCTGGGGAGCTCAGGGCGTGAGTTCAGCCTCAGGCCCCTCTGGTTGCGGAAGGGCTTGGGCTCTGGGGCTAGGACTCTAGGAATACCCCCACAGGTGGCTGCAGGGACACCAGATTTGCTTAAGGATGTGCATGTGGCCTGTAGAGTGTGTGGGTGGGCATGGGGCTTAGCCAGGACACTTGAGCCCTCACCTCCACTCTGGAGGGCCAGTCTCTGTGGTGATTGGTTGCACTGTTTCATAGTTCAGTGGCCAAGGTGAGAAGGCAGGTAAATGCCACTAGGGAAGGTTCAGTGGTGCTTCAGGGCTGCTGAGGACAGGTAACCAGTGACAGTCACAGTGCATGTGACTCGGGGCAAGAAGCCAAGGAGGGCAGGAGAGCACACCTCAGTTCCCACAGCCCCGTGCCAGGCCTGACGAGGAAGCCCCTTGGAGGTTCCCCCTCCTCACACCCAGTGAAGCCCCGCCAGCGATGGTCCAGCTCTGCTTCCTTCCTGAGACACATTCGTCCACTCCATCTTGTAGCTGGCTCTGTTCCTCTGATGCCACTTATGCCCTGACCAGGGCCTGAGCTGGGCGTCTAGAGGGTGCCCTGAGCTCAGACCCACAGGTGTAAGAGCAGCCTCATAGTGGCGCCAGGGACCCTGGTGTGCCCCAGCCACACTGAGTCAGGGCTGACGTGTGTCACGTGTGAAGTCACAGTGCACTGCAGCTCCTGCCTCTGAGCTAGCCAGCTTTGCATCATTGTGATCACATACTSGACAAGAACAACTTAGAGGAGGAAACGTTTATTTTGGCCACAGTGTCAGAGGTTCCGTCCGTGGTCAGCTGACTCCATTGCTCTGGGCCCGAGGTGAACAGAGCAGAAGGGCAGCAACTGGGGGAGACTGCTCCACCCCTGGCAGCCAATAAGCAGAGGGAGGGAAGGGGCTGCAGGGAGGATGCACCCCTCCAGGGCACGCCCCAGTGAGCCACCTCCTCCAGCTGCCCCATCTGCCTGACAGGTCACGGCTCTCATAATCTAGTCACTTTACCTCTGAACGATCCTGTACTAACCCAGGAGGTCTTGGGTGGCACCTCATATCCAAACCATAACACTCCATCTCTTAGTTGCTGCTGGTGGTGGTGTTGGGGGGCAGCTGTTGTGTTGGGAGGGTGCTCCAGTAGTCCTGAGCAGATRCCACCCACACAGGAACCCAGGACTCCACCAAAGCCAGCTGCAATGTGCCAGCCATGTGGGTGAGCCACCAGGGAAGCAGATTTGTCAGATAGTGTGGTCCAGGTGATGTCCTGCCTGCAGCCTCAGGAGAGCATCCAAGACAGGACCCATTGGCTCAGCTACTTCCCGATTCCTAACCCACAGAGACGGAGAAGTAGTGAATCATTGTACAGAAGGGGCTTCTGTGTTGGGGGGATTTGTTGCACAGCAATGGCGAGCTGACGCTCATCCCGGAGCAGTGCAGAGGTGCGCTGGAAGGCTGGGTGCTGGCTTTCTGTGATTCTCTGAGTTGCTTGTTCCTCAAGCACCAGCAAGCAGTTCGGGGCCCTGGAGAGCTCCAGACGCTGGCTGGGTCTCCAGAATGCAGATTTGGATCTGTCTGAGGGTGGCRGGGACGAGGGACAGTCCTCCGCCGCAGCCCCTGCTCTTCTCCCATTGCACRTGCTCACTGCAGTCTAAGATGTGCACCATGCTGCTGTCTCCGGCATATGGGTCTTTGGCCACCTCCTGAGCACTGTGCCTATGTGTCTGGCAGCTTCCTGGCCACCTCCACTTGGGGTCTTGATTGAGCACTACTATTTTTTTTTCTGTGTAAAATGGGTTTATTCATTAGAGATAAGTAAAGGGGGGGACCACAGAAACCTAGGACTTATTACAGCCTGTCCCTCACCAGGGATCAAGGAGGATGGGGTTTCATCTGCACTTACTCCACTCACACCTCAGCTGAGGGACTTGAGAGAGGAGCCCGTACTGGGGTGACATGGGCTACAGTTCCAGAGGCCATCCTGTCTCTGGAGTGGACTGAAGCCTAGCACCAGCTGCTCTGGGTGGCAGTCCTTATCTCCTGTACATCCTCAGGTTGTTCTTGACAACTTGACAGACACCTTTGTCCTCATGAACTCTTGGGTGCAGCACTTCCTAAATGAGCCGCCCAAGGACGATCCTTCAGAGCAATAAGCAGCACACGGTGTAGTCAAGGCTTCAGTCTCATAGCCCAGGGTCTATTTTCTGGGGCATTTTTCCACAAAGAACCTGCAAAGAACACCAGTCCTAAAAACACCCCTACACTGAATTTCTGGCACCTTTATCTTGAACTTTCGGGCCTTCAGAATTTTAAGGAATAGATTTATGTTTACAAGCCACCAGTTTATGGCATTTTGTTATAGCAGCCTGAATGGACTAAGACAACTTTAAAATAAAAGTACTGACTCTAGGGAAGGGATCATTTGAAGGTGGTTTTGAGAAACCCACCCCACTGTTTTTCTCTGTGAAAACATTCCCTAGAGAATGGCCTTCCAGGTCACTGTTTCCATTTCAACATGGTGCTAGAATTTGGTGACTAGTTAATTTTTCTTCTTTAAATATATAATTTTGAAAAGGCTGTCCAAAATTATTTAAGCAGATCACATTTGGTACCTATTTCATACCTTTTTTGGGTGGTAGACTATTAAGAATAAACCATAACATAATTTACAAAAAAAATTCACTTTGCAATCAGCTGTATGTTTGGCATCTGAACAGCAMACTGGCACTCTGAAGCCAACATCACTACTTGATCTTTCCAAAGCCAGTCTCCTCCTGGGTTCCTACTAAGAGGAATGTTACAATTTGTAATGTTACCGTTTGGATCTGAGGTGTCCCCCAAAGATCCAGGTAGTAAAAGCTTCTGTTGCCATAGGTCCAGACAGTCAGGAACTAGAAGTGCAAAACTGGGCGTCAAAATAAACCTCTTCCCCTGATAAGTTGATGATCTCAGGTAACTGTTAGTGATGGGCAGCCAACCACAGATCTCCCTTCTCTCAACACACACACACAGATCCCAGAATGAAGCATGTACAAATATTAGAGGTAGTCATTCTTGGGTATAATACAAGCAATTTAAATTTTATCATTTTTATATTGTCAAAAACTCTCTGTGCTTCCCCCTCTCGTTCTTGGTCAGTTTTACCAGGGTTTTTGATTTGATTACTCTTCACAGAATGACTTTTGGGTCTGTTCACGCAGATATATATTTTTCCTGTTCTTTC